TAACCGCAAAACATTTGTAAATGTGTTGCATAATAACACAAACCAAAGAGAATGTTAACACGGCATGAAGAGTAAAGAACATACATAATTAAAATCTATGATGAGGAAACTATCCTAGGAAAAACTTTGGAAAAGCTATTTACATTTGGCCATAATTATTCACGTACCCTAGATATATAAATGTATGTGGCATACAGTAACAACGTACAGCCAACAAACGGAATTAAATGGGCGGAAGAAATGTCGAATCTCTCTAATCCATTATATTCTCTAAACAACTAAAATTTTATTTTTATAATCTTTATCAACTCTTTCTAAACCTTTTTTAAATTTATTCATCGGCGTATGAACATTCAATATTTTCTTCGGTTTCCGGTCAGCCGATTAACTTCCTTATTTTAGGAAGGGTCTGGTAAAAAATATCGCTTTTTGTTAAACAAAATATTTACCAACTGTCTTGTTGATCACAAAAAGTCCGGTATGAATAAAAATATGCAATAAAAAAAATTCACAACTGAATTAATGTTTTCTATAATACTATATTTTTGATATTATAATGTATTACTGTAGAAAAAGCAGTGATAACATTTGAATAAATGAACAGATATGAGATTTTTTTTTATAAATAATTAGAACATTTATTGAATGATTTCGTTAGTATTGTATATCATATTTGTCTCATCTCCCTTGCGGCTTTGATAACATATTCCTTAAAATCTAACGAGTCGAAAGCTGAATCTCATTAATTTGTCCCTTTGATAAATAAAACATCAAAAGCCTTCGTACCTTTGCTTAATTATATGTGTTTGTAATATGCATACTTTTTTAAAACACACAAAATATTACATAACTCATAATTGTAATATAAAGAAGTAATTCAGATATGGCTAGTAGAAAACAAAGGTAAGTAAATCTTTTAGCCAATGGAAAAAAAATTCAAGGAGCATATGCAGGTTTTTTAAATAGCAAAATATATTTCATTCTAATTAAATTTGGAGACACAAATCTTTCAAAAAGTTTAGATTAAAAGCTTAGAATGACACAGAATTTAATATAGAAGACTATAATGAATTTTCTCCTGTTGTTAAAGTACGGGACTTTATCCCAAAGGATGTCCCATTGATTTCTTAAATCATATTTGAGCATAACCTAAATGTGGACTTAAGGCATCGTTGATTACTGGAGCGTCACGTTCGACCCAAATCGTCGATAATTAATCATTTCGTGTGGGTATCGGATGGGGACGTGGATAAATTGCTGTGGCAAATTAAACAAATATCCGCGCGACAGTGATGTGGGATCTTTTAGATTAGGTGGTGTTTGAAAATTGCAAAAGGAATTCATTAAAGTTAGAAGTTTTGTTGGACGTAAATTAGTCTGGACGCGTTTTGGCTGATTATGAACTTTATAGCGGAAGGCGATGTATTGTGATTTATTTATTTATACAACAACACTTTGCAATGCCATAATTTTCAATATCGAGAACCATGAATAAGTTCTCGTTACCAGTGCAGTTAAGTGATTATAATAAACATATTGTAGTGGAGAAGTTCCTAAACTAGCATGCAATTTTAGACTTGTCGAGTTCACCACGTTTATGTTACGAATTTTCAATGAAACTACCAATCATTAGAATTTACAAAACAACGTCTTTATCAAATACTTATAATGCGATTTTACACTAACATGCGCTGACGACGAGACTGGAGCAGTAAGTTGACTCTCTTCCTCCGAGGATGAATCCTCTTCCACCCTCAGATTTTGCATCCAACTACTGTCACAAACATTTCTTACGGAAACGCAGAATCGCCAGCAGCGCGTCTGCGTTTCTTCTTCTTCCTCTTGTTGGTGTGACTTAACTGCCGGGGTGCCGCAGGGTGGCGTTATGTCTCCTCTTCTTTTTGCTTTTTATATTAACACAATATCCTCTCAATTACTTTCTTCCTACTCAATCATTTTTGCTTTCAATGGCATAACTAATATCTTCAGCGGGGGCTTTCGTATATATTTGCAAATCGTCTGCATAAAGATGGTAGGAAGAAAGTAATTAGGTCTTAATTTAGCTCAGATTTCTGAATGGTGCCGCAAACATGGGCTTTGGGTGAATCCCACCAAAACTGTCGCAGTGGGCAGCTCAAGCATTAGAGCTAAAGTAAAGTTTAAACAGATCCCGTAAATAGTTTTTGATTGAATCTTGTTACTAAATCAATAGCCGTATTAGTATCTTGGGCATCGTATTTTTATTTATTATATATACCTTTGTTATAATATTTATATTTCTATTGATATTATTAAAATTTATTTGTACCTTCAGCCTATCTACATTATTATATATTATTGCTTCTTCCAGTATAGGTTGCCTGGAAGAAATCGCTGTTAAGCGATAAGGCTGCCTATTGTGCAGCATGTTTGTAAGTTACTCTTTATTTATCTCTGTTGTGTGTTGTACAATAAAGTGTTTTTTATCATATCTTACAATATAGTTCTTTAATTACGCCTTATGCCATCATAAATACCACCTTTAAAAAAATTAGAGACTTCGGTCAGCCATGGCTGTAAGAAGTGATATAACGGCTTACTGTCTGACAGGGGTTTCGTTGTTTAGTATATTTTCCTTTTTTTGTTTCAATGGCGTAATTTTCGCTCGTACATTTTTATACAATGAAACACATATATGTATAAAGAATTATACAAATTAAATCAGGAATTAGGGAGCAACAGCGCCTGTTATTCTTATTATTTTCTTCACAATTTCATCATCCATATTTGAGCATTTTGATTAGTGTTTCTATTTATAATGGAGCTCACTAGCTCTATGAATCGCAGATTGTGATATAGAGTTTAATGTCACAATCTGCGATTATTTTTATTTTATACAGTTATAAATTTATTAGTCAATTTTTAAAAGTATGACTTAATATTTAAGTTATAGTTAAATCTTTTTACTACAAATGTATTCGATAGTATTTTTATTAATAATACACATTTATTTAATAAAGATATATTTGAATTGAATTGTATATTTGTCAAACATCGATCGAGTTGTGGTAAACTACTCGTGCCCAAATGAAATCAAACTAACATGTTAATTGAATTCACACTAGTTAGTTTCTGTGCGTGGTCTCGTTCAAGTTGATTTTTAACACAATATTAATAGGTATAAACCTGGATGAAAGATTGAAGCGAACTAGTTGATGAATAAAACTATGATACCATGTGCTTCATAACCAAAACAATAAATGTTTTAAGAATTTAATCACAAATGCTTTGTTCTGTTTGAGTATTTGATTGGTATGCATAAGAATAAATTGAATTAAGATCTTAAAAGATTTACGGCACCGTTGTTTGGTAAAATTGGATTAATGCGATATCTTCAACTTGAATGTCGAGATAAATTCTAATTAAAATTAATGTTTACTTGGCAGTAGTCCTTCTTCTTGGTATTGTTGATAAGAAAGCCTTTGTCAAATCAAAAGTTTTAAGATTGTTTTCTTTTCAATGGAAGGAGAAATCATATTAAAAGTTTTTGTTATACTACTTACTTTTGCTTTTATTATTCAGATGCCCGCTTTATTTAAGTAACAAGATGTCAAAAAATGTAAATGAAAGGTATTACGTAAAATAACTATTAAATACTAGATTTATCTTTACGATTATGATTTATTAATAATTAAAATAGTTAGTCCACCTTTGCGAAAAAACACAAGGAAAATATCGACGTGCTTTGAGAAATTGTCAAATGTTCTGAATTAGATATTTAACTAAATCGTTGAGTAAAATGAAGTTTTCCCTCGGGATGTCCAAGAAAGTACGTTAACGACACGATCCCCGCACAATGGCTGAACGCAATCACCTTCATAATTAGCTTTCGGGTCGCCTAATCGCCTTACTTTCTTTCCTGTTCTGTTGTCAATTACATGGGCGAAGAATTTTGTACTATATTTGTATGTTCACTGATTTTTTATCGCATTAATACCTCTATATAGTAGACAAAACGAAACATGGGCCACTTGTTTATTTTGGTATGTTTGTGTACTGATGTTTATATTGGGTAATTTATTTATAGTGTTGCCTTAATTAATTATACATAGTTTATTGTTTTTGGAGTCACGACCTATTTTAAGGAGACTTTTTAGCTGATTCGAAATCGGAGTTTATTTGTTAACAGATTGAGATTGTTTTGTTAGTGCCGAAATACATGTTAAAGTCTTAACATTAATTCAGGAGCGAACAGAGCCATTCACGCCTTTTGCTGACGTCTTATGGATTTTTTTAAAGCCTTAAAGCTTGGATTTTTTTGTACATGCGTACTTCCTGGTAAAAAAGGAATATTTGCTTATGAAGCTACTGATTCCTGATTAAGAGCATGCGAATACTTTGGTATTCTTGATATACTTTGGCTTATGCCGTAGGATTTAAGACATATTAGGCGACATAATAATGGTGATCATATAAGAAACCTTTCTTGATCAATGTATCATACTAACTTCACTTTGAGACATTTTTGAACCGGGGCTGATTTTATTTTTAATGTGTAATTAATTCAAACTTCCTCCATTATTAGATTGTAAAAATCAGTATGATTCCTATTCAAAGCATCCATATATTTAGCGATTCAGCAGTCAAAATTATATCAGCTACACAAATTTGTTCTACAATATTTTTTCACTGCAAAACTCGGTGAAAACGCTAACAAAAACTGAAAGTGTAATTAAACAAAATATTTTACCGTTTAAAATTTGCGTTGCAACTTTCGCAATAAAACTCACCGCTGTATCTTTTACGTGCTCCTTTTTACTATAATATTTCAAGTAAATTTTTGAACAGATTAGTACACAGAACATTTAAACATGTTCGACAATGTTTACATTGTTTAAAATTTGCAGAGTTAAATCTACAGAAATATATTTACATATATATATTAAATCAGTTGCGAATGCAAAAAAAAAAGCTATATTTCGTCAAACTTTGTATTTTGAGGAATATTTTTTTTGTTTCAGGTGAAAGATATATGTAACGAGTTGGAGGTTAGAGTCCTATGCCATAAGATTCTTCAGAATGTGTCAATACTCCTCGATGCTGATAGAGGATCACTCTTTTTGGTACAAGGCGAAAGAGCAGCATCACCGCATCCTCAAAATGGCAGGTAAGTTATTTTGTAGGATATAAAATTCACTGTAGAAAATACTCAATACTCGATAAGTTTGTTGATTCCATAGATCATTTAAAATAATATTACATAGTTTAGTTACTCACTATGGACCCCGTCGGGCACAACAATAATAGAGTGCCAAGTATTAATTAATCTATGATAGGGTTGGATAGCTGTTCTCACAGAAAGATAAGTACTGAATTAATCATTAATTTCATAACTTTTTACGGCCGAAGAATTGCGTTGTGAGATTTGTGCAATTTTGTTAATTTTTTTGATGGGTAATGTATTCTTAAATTTTATCGAGATGTAGGTATCTTTAAATTATCAATGGCCGCAATCGCATTACGAGTTAAGATAACAATAAAAAAAATAAAGATACAAATGTTATACTAATTCAGTCACCACATTGAGACATTTAGGAAAAAAATATCATTTTTTACTCTTCGCTCTTAGGAGTAACAGTCTGAGAGTACGATTTAAGAAATTAATGCATTGGAAACGTCGGTCGAATGAGAATCTGTATTCGAATGCAATTCCGAGCCACAATTAGGATTTACTGCTGCGATACCTGTTTGTATCTTATGTTCCACATAAGGTCTGTTTCACATTTGGAATATCAGCGTTAACATTTTGTTTCTAGACGTATAACGTTGCGTTTATTATATTGTTATTGCAATATTTTAGTTGTAAATATTTTTTTATTTCATATAAATGATATAAATTTAATGACAACATCAGGTTTTAATTCTATGAAATCTCCTTTTATAAGTTTGTTTTTATAGTATTCTTTTTGCCAAGTGTACCAACCACCATTATATCAAGGTATATCGCGTGTTTGTATATTGCCTTAAATGTATACAACCCTTAAGGGTAAAGTCATTTGCAGTTTCCACTTGGATTCCTAGATGATATCATCTCTAAGATGACGACACTAGTATCTACTTTATCTATGTATACGCACAACAACATGCTTTATGCTAAACGAGAATGCGCTTCATGTCCAAAGGAACGTGCTTAAGAGCGTGATGCACGTCTTAGTTATGAAGAAGCAAGACGATTGATTTATACTATATATATACCTATAGTACACATTAATTTTCTAAATGAATAACTGCTTTCTTACACTTAATTACTCAGTGTTAGTACGAATTCGATTCGCTCGAAAATTTTCATCTGGAATTTTATACGAACTTTAGCTTCTGTAATGTGCTATAGTTACAGAAGCTATCGCTTTTTTAATATTTTACGAACATTGTTTCTTTGCTTTATGTAGTGGTTTACCTTAGTGTTACGATAGAATGAAGATTTAAGCTTTTATTGTTCACCATAGTCTGATTAGGTAAGATTTTTATACAACGGATAATTTTATAAAAGGCTCGTAAATTGAGATGTTTTAAAAAGTTAGAAAAACATGGACAAGTCTCCGTGTGATTATTTAAAAAGTTCTTGGGTTGAATTGACTCGAGTTGAAACAAAAGACTGTCGCTACTTATCCCTCGCATTCTTTTTACAAATCAATCGCAATAAAACGAACCCAAGGAAGCGTAAGGAATGAATTTTACAATTCTTAACATGAAAACGCGTACATCCGCACACATATATAAGTCACGTATCAATTATCATTCATTTGCGAGGTGTAAAGAGAATTCAGCTCGATACCCTCAGCACTAATCAACCTTCTATCAGCCTTAACATAGTGACCAAGAGACGATTGCGAGCATATTTAATTAACTCTGTAGGAGTTAACGAAATGGCAAAAACCAGACGATCACACCTTGCTCGCTGTAGTAGAGAGATATTAAATAGAAGACGATCCCCGTTATTGAAATGAGAAACAAAAGACGATCGCTCGGTTGTCCGTCCGCGTTGCCTAGAAACAATTAAGCATGCATGAAGAAATTTAATTAATTACGATTAATCAATTCATTAAGTCTTCAATGCCGATAACAAATTGGAGACAAGATTTGAGTTTTACGTTTGAAATTATTATTTTGTAATTAAAATGGCTTCGAGATGATTTAAATGAAAGACAATAAGCTTTTTTGGTTATCCAAGAAATATATATATTACAAATATTGGTCTCATCGGATCATGGAAACTTAATTTGAACAAACCATGCAATTTGTGGTGTATTTTAGCAACGTAAATAATACAGAAATAGTTAATATTAACTATACATAATTATAGTAATAAAATAGGGTGTGACCAATTTTTTTAATGTACAAAAATTATAATAGCCGTAGCACAAGTAATATATTTTTTAAAATTTTTACACCCTTATTTAAGATACCACTCCCAATGTAAACTTATTTACATAATTGAAAAATGTTTCATAATGGTAATTTTAAAAAGCATACCAAAAGAAACAATGATGAAAAAATATGTACCAGGCATATAAAACGTAAAGTTAGCGCTATCTATCTAATTAATATTTTTTTTTATCAAAAGCATATAAGCCTAGACAATCCGTTGCCTTTCTTCATAAGATTAATTGCAAAAACTAGGTAACAAAAATAACTCGACGAAATTTTCTGATTAGAAATAAGATATTATTTCCCATGAATTCTTGTGTTTTTACTAGTATAGTCCATATTATAAAAAATTGTGGTAATACAGTTAACTTCATTGCCAATCAAAACTTACTTCCGAAAATATGTAACTGCAGAATTCTCATTTACCAAACAGAGTTGATATAAATGTTGTGTTTACATTAACATTTACTGTATAACAGTAAACTCAATTCAGTTCAATCAATCAATCAGTTTCACTGCCACAACTGCTATTACTAATAAACAGTCGCAAAATTAATTACAACATATTATCACAGACATAACCTAATATTGCAAATTAGTTTCAACGTGCTTTGTACAAAAGGCTATATCGCAACGCGTTGATTTTCTAAAACGTTATGCAGTACTTCGAAAATGTAAGCAATTAGTATGAGTACGGCCAAGACGTAGTCAAAACATTGATTATGACAAAATTCGCTAGAAGAGATTGCCTATTACCACTACAAAAATATATATATATTATCAATATCCAATTAATCTTCGTGCGAAGATCCTTTCACATTTATCTATAACACGTCATATAATGATGGGAACAAACAACACGGTCGTTTCTTTTGTTCTTTTTCATAAGGGATATTGGTTTCTTGATATGCAATTTATCATTGGTTTTTTCACATGATTTTTATAAAATTTGTAAAATGTGTACCGGTAACGAACTGAAATAAGATGACATAATTTTTATTTAAAATTTTCAGTGGATATTTAGTGTTTTGTATCAAAAAAAATGTGCTAGGATACATTTGCTTATTAAATATTATGGTTATATTATTAAATAACGTATGTTTTATTTCATGCTTATCCCTGCTATGCAATTTTATTAGCCTTTCGTTTAGAAGTAATTTACCACTATCCAGTTTGAAATTGCATATATTTAAAAAAATTATCTTACATATTGATTTTTAATATTTCAAGCGCACAATCCATAAACCAAACCATATTTTAACGGTTTCATCGCGTTTGTATTTAGTTTTATTGACTTTTCTAGATCCTTTACAGGTTCCGTGTTCATATAAGACTAATGTTGAATTACATTGTTGAATTACAACTTACATGTTGAATGTAAAATATATTTGCTCTGAATTTATAGCTCTCAAAACAACATGGTTGCACTTTGTAGCTCTTCAAATTTCAACGTTTTGAAACATGAAAAGCAAATATAAAATGTTCGTTTGATTTATAAAAAATTGTCGCAATATTAAAAGCCGATTGATATTTGACTGTTACAATTGGTCAATACGAATTACACCTTCCTCACCACTGGACATTACAGGCTCAAAACTATAGGGTATTTTATTACAATTTGCACTTTTATGTAGACAATAAAAAAAATTAATGCCTAGCCGATTATGCTTTGCATCGTGACCAGTGTTCTGCTTGTGGCGATTCCTTTTTTTGCCGTCCGATCACATGCCCGGTGATCTGCCTATAGGTCTCTTATATGGAGTTTCTAATGCACGATCTTTTAGCTCCAGGTGTTTCTATTATATGTATATACTCAAATCCTTGTCCTTCACATCAATTTTAATGAATGGTGATAGCTCTGAGTTTGTTATTTTGTAGTTGAGTAAGAAGAACTGTGTGAAAAATACTTTATGAAATGCCATTGACTGGCTAATGCCTACGGAGTAATTAATAATTTATGCGGTAACAATATAATTATCTTATTTTACACCAATAACTTTTTATTTGCTGATGAAATGACATATGTCATTTACTCAATATTATATTTTAGACTATGTTATTATTGTAATAACTACCAATGGTATGTTGTTGTGACCGATTACAAAACAATCTATTGTTATTTACTGTTGAGCTGAAACATAAAAGTAACTGGTGCGTTATATTTTAGTGGGTATTGTTTAAAAGTTGAACGATGGATGTTTACGTTGGCTTATAATTGATATAACAGACCTTACTAGTATGTTTTAATATGTTTCAAACAAATATGGACAAAATGTAGGTATACAACCTTCATTCTGAATTGATTGAAGGTTATCTATTGTAATTAAAATCAATCACTGTGACTCTTAGGCACTCCTAAGATAGTCATACACACACACACTGAAGTCGGTTGCGTTGTTTAGGATGAACAGTCTACCAAAATGTCCAAGTAGTCTCAGATAATCGAGTGTTGCACTGAATGGTTCGCTAACTGCAATGAGAAATTTAAAGCATTATGGCATTTTATACACTCGATATTAAATTTTTTTTGCCAGTCGTATTTAATATACAGTGGAAATTAGAATTCAATTTTGTTCTTTCGTAAATTAGTATTTTTGCTCTATCTGCTAAAGTTCCATGAATGTGCAACAAAAATAAATACTAATAAATACTACGATATCATGCTGTAAGGAGCCTTCGAGTGCACTAAATCGTGTATCGAGGACACATTAATGTCCTGTAACGGCGATATTTTACATA